TTCTTATCTCTCTTATCGCGTAATCGATAAGAGATAACGTCTTGATTCTGTAGTAAAGTTGTATTACTCAAGCTGCTCTACAACTTTGCTATAGACATCATCTCTCTATCTCTTATTAGTTTCGCGGAAAACGCGAGAAACCGCAGAAAACCGTGAAAAACGCGAATTTTTTCTTATCATTTTTTCGCTTAACTGATAAGAGATAACGACTTGGTGTCTGTGGCAAAAATTTAGTACTCAACCAGAGCTACAACTTTGCTATAGAAATCATCCCATTATTTCATATCAGGTCCTTGAAAAATGAGAAACTATGAATTCGCGTTTTTCAAGTTTTCGCGGCTTTTCGCGTAACTGATAAGAGATAACGACTTGATGTCTACGGCGAAATTGTAGTACATAAACTAGTCCACAACACTGCCACAGAGACTAAGTCGATATCTCTTATCATAGTCCAGTAATAAAATAAAATAGCCATGGGGCCCTGTAGTCCCCAAAGAACAACAGCGTAACATGTTTTTCGGAAGGCTGTATTTTACACATACTTACACATATGCATATGTGCATATGTCATTCGTGTAGAGAAATATTCAATCTATAAAATAAGACTTAACTCCGGTTGGTTTATACACTGTTTAGTACTTTTATTCAACTTTAAATTTCGCTTGGGGCCCTGGATTCCCCAAAAACCGTCATAGTGTTAAACGTCATTCAACATGTAGTTGCACATAAATTTATTTAGATAAATTTCAAATATCAAATAAATTTATCCGATATTTGCGTACTGCGATAAAAGCCTATGTAAACAATGTTATTATATTTGACAATATTTGACTCGATGTCAATGACGATGTGGCAGCGCCACCTATAGAGATTCCTTATTGAAATAAGTGGAACTATTGAGTGCGTACACCATATCGCACGTAAATTTTCAACATGGCAGCGCCCATAGAATTGAAAAGTTAACCGATTTCGTAGTCACAAATTATCGCTGTACGGATATTTGAGGCTGTGAGAATTAAAATGGCAATACAGGAATAAACATTCTGAAACGAAACATAAAACAGCAAACACGCAAAAGTGAATCATGAATGTTTGAGCAGTGAACCATGAGTATCGGTACGTGTGCGTAAATTCATGATTTGCTTCAACACAGCGCTCATTCAAGATTCACTTTTGAGAATTTAGGGGGTGCTTAAGTCTCAGCACGTAAACGAGCTCCGCTTATTAAACGGCATTGGCATGAACGAACAGCATTAGAATGAATGTACATACATGAATGAAATGACAACATCACTGAAATCGTAGCGCATGGAAAATAACACAGAAGAAATGCGACAACAAACAAACATTGCAAAATCACAACGCAGCAGAGAGAGTGGGAGCATCTGTGCTGTTCGCACAACAGCAAATATTCATAGCACGCTGGTACCGTGTCAGTGGAGACTACCAATATCAACGCAAATTAGAAAAATTGATTTGTATTGGGTCTGGGAATTAATCGTGTCGATTTTTCAAAAGATGGCGTAACTTTGCATGGTTGTATCGGGCAATACTTTTTTCTTTTTCACATGAGTGGTCTAGTGTCAAACTACAAAAATCATCATCTATCATTTCATCGAAGTTTGGATAAACATTTTTTTTGCGCCTTAAATATGTCAAATTTTGTACCGAGAAAGCAACATTTCCCGCAAGCATTAATTTTTTGCTTTCATTTGAAGAAAACTGCGGCTGAAGCGCATCGAATGTTGGTGGAAGCCTATGGTGAGCATGCTCCATCGGAACGTACATGTGAACGGTGGTTTTCACGGTTCAAAAGTGGTGATTTTAGCACGGAAGACAAGGAACGTCCCGGCCAGCCAAAAAAGTTTGAAGATGCGGAATTGGAGGCATTGCTTGATGAAGATTCGAGTCAAACTCAAGATGAGCTTGCCAGAGCATTGAATGTTGACCGAAGCACTGTTGGATATCGTTTAAGGGCCCTTGGTTTCATTCGCAAGTTGTCAAATTGGGTACCACATGAATTGACGCCAGCACAAGCTGAAAGGCGTTTAGTGACTTGCGAAATGCTGCTCGCAAGGCACAAAAAAAGAGGTTTTCTGTATCGAATTGTCACTGGTGACGAAAAATGGATTCATTACGATAACCCCAAGCGCAAAGCATCGTATGTTAAGCCCGGCCAACCAGCAACATCACAGCCAAAACAAGAAATTCACGGCGACAAGGTAATGCTGTCTATTTGGTGGGATGAGGAGGGAGTGGTGTATTATGAGCTGCTGAGAAGTGGTCAAACCATCGATGGGCCTTTCTACCGACAACAATTGATACGTTTGAAACAAGCAATCAAAGAAAAACGCACGAAATGGGAGACCAGAAAAGAGACATTGATTTTCCTACATGACAATGCTCGGCCACACATTGAGAAATCGGTCAAAAACTACTTGGAAAATAGCGGATGGGAAGTTTTGGCTCACGCCCCGTATAGCCCAGACCTGGCTCCTTCCGACTACCATTTGTTTCGATCTATGCAAAACCATATGGACGGAGAGCGGTTCTCTTCAGTTGAAGAAATCCAAAATTGTCTCGATGCATTTATAGCCTCAAAAGATGAGGAATTTTTTAAGGCAGGCATCCGTCAATTGCCCACATTGTGGCAGAAGGTCATCGCTTCCGATGGACAATATTTTGATTGAAATGTAATTTCATTTTGGTATTCAAATAAATGTTTGAAAATTTAAAAAAATCGACAAAACTAATTCCCAGACCCAATATTGTTGACATCACTGAGTCGGTGCCAGTGCGTTATGAATATTAAGCCGCTAAGAAAGAAAATTCTCAAAAGTGAATCTTGAATGAGCGCTGTGTTGAAGCGAATGATGAATTTACGCACACGTACCGATACTCGTGGTTCACTGCTGCTGCTCAAACAATTTTTGACAAACATTCATGATTCACTTTTGCGTGTTTGCTGTTCTATTTTTCGTTTCAGAATGTTTATTCCTGTATTGCCATTTTCATTCTCACAGCCCCATTTTTCATGCGTTATGTTGTAACGCATTTGCAGTACATAAGAGAGACATCGGCTGAAATATCGGTATTTAGTTCAATATTGGCTATGTACATCTCATGGATTTGTCAGCTGTTTGAACAGTAATATTTTTAAAGTTTATCTAAATATTTCAGCGAGTAACGTTCATGAGGATCTGTAACAGTTAAATTCTGGCAATTTTAGTACTATTTAGTACTATGTAGTGTACTGCAACATCACCCACAGTTGTCCAGAACCATTGAGAGGATTTAGTACTTTTTAGTACATTTCAGTACTCTTTTAGTACTTTTATTACTTGGTCTGCAAAGCCCATGAGAAGTACTAAAAAATTTCTTCAAAAACTATTGCTCTATTTCGAGTAGTTGAAAAGTTATTGAACTCCGAAAATGTTCGATGATATCGTTTGGTAGCGACAAGTGACTTTGAGCCAAAAAAGTGGAAAAAATCGCCCTTTTTTCGACATTTTGCCCTATAAGCCTAGTCAGATGCGATTTTTTAGGTATAGAATGTTCATAAATTTTGTTAACTGGACTATCCAGTTTGAGCAAAAAATACATGATTTCATAAAATGAAAGATCCTGAGCCAAATTGGCAAAACGAATGATGCAGCATTCCTAGTTTTGGTAAGTACTTTCAGCAGCGATCCTCAAAACTTATGCTCTAATCGATGACCAAAAGAATGTTGCACTATGTAATATATTGCCAATAGAAAAGTAAATGGCGAACATTTTACGTCTCTGCACATTTCGTATGGACTATATCAATGGGTGAGATTGAGAGTGGAGTATGTTTTTTCTTTGATTTATATTTTTGAAAAGGCGAGTATGTTTTCTGATGATTCTGTTGGCGTTAAAGTAGAGTATGTTGTAGTACCGTCTAGCCTCCGCGGTCTTCATGGTTTTCGCGCAACTGATAAAAGATAACAACATGGTGTCTTCGGCAAAGTTGTAGTACTCGAAGTCTTCTATAACTAGGCTGAAGACAATTATCTCTTATCTCTTGTCAGTTGTGCGCAAATCGCGCACATAAAAAAGCAAATTTTATATGGAACTTTTTTTTTCTTATCATTTTTCGCGCTTAACTGACTTCAGCAATGTTATAGAAGACCTCGAGTGCTACAACTTTGCCGAAGACACCAAGTTGTTATCTCTTATCAGTTCCGCGGAAACCGTGAAAAACCGCGAGGACCCGCTAAAAACGAACATACTCGCTTTTAACCATTTTTAAGTCGACAGAAACTTGCTCTTCTCTTTCGTAACAAAGTCAATGAAACATACACTACTCTCAATCTCACCCATAGATATATGTATTACTTTATAATGGAAACTACCTTTTGTGTCAATGTATTTGCGAAAATCAGAATAATTTTTTATGTCTTTCGGTCTCTACTAAATTGTAAATCCATAACTACCAACAGGGACTTGTTAGACTAGACGTAGAACTTTTCTTTGATGAATTGAACGATGACTTTTGAAGTCATTAAGGCCGTTAATACGATGTTAACGCTTCAGCCGGCCTACACTCCTAAATTAAATGGAGAATCTGTCATCTTGACATGTTGTAAAATAGCGGTTTACCCGATGTAGAGGGTAATTTAACCTCAAACTAGATTAATTCCTATATAAATATATGGCGCTATCTACAAAGTAAACACTTGAATGTTGTTAGGGCCATTGGTGACCCATTTTTATTTCAAAACTTCATTTTTTCCATGAAGGTTATTTACAAAACATGATTTTTAAGTATGAAGGAGCGGATACTTTTCATCGTTATATTTAAGAAATCTATTCTGTATAGATAGAGTTATAATTTTGCTGAAGACATGAAAGTGATACCTTGCATTCAGTTCGAGTTATAGGCCATGAAACACTCGGGTCTCTCGTGACCCGCTAACAACATTCAAGTGTTAATTTAAATTTAATTTTATAATTATGAAGACATTAATTTGGCTTACCATCCGGCAGGAAAATATTCAGGAATAGGCAGTCTTCACTGAACTGTGTTATGTTTGAAAGTCTGGGATCGATGCCCAGAATTTTAAAGAAAATTTCATCGTGATTCTTGATTGGTTTGCGGAAATCTGACCAGCACTGCATTGGTGGAATGCTTCCATTACGAATTCCTGGCCATGATGGAAGTGGATCTTGAGACGGTGGTGCAAATCGTCTATCTTCAAGTGGGGGCTGTGCATATGGAATTCCTAGATATCCAACAATAGTTTGTGTTCGAAACATTTTTGAATAGAAACCCGATATTTGGCCTTGAACTGGTATTGTGACGATTGGTGCATCACGACTCAAAGTTATCCGAAGCACATACAGAAATATAAATACTGTAGAAAACAGGTAGAATTGCATTTTATTATTTACGAAGTCCACTTTCATTTATCTTTCCAAATTGTAAAACTGTTACACTGGATGTAAAAGCTTTGCTTCATTCAAATTGTATTACGTCTTTCCAAATAAATAACAGTTTTCACATATTTGTATTTTTATAAGAATATTTGCACCGTTTGAATAAATTCTTTATACAATTTGTCGAATACTATCTTCCGATTCGAATGTTAATAAATTTTCTTTACGCGTGTCTTTACCGTTGTTGAAGTTGTTTTTGCAACATTGCTCAGTTCATGCTTACTTTTTCCCCTTCTGAATCGCGTCTCGACTTCAAACAAGACTACTAAGCAATAAGCGTATAGGTTCTATAACATATCAAATAAATCCTTGTTTTGCTGGTTCCTGTAAATGGTGAAAAGTGCGAAGTAAAGAAATGAATGTAATCGCGCAGTAGAAATCTAATATATTCACGTCATTGCGATCCCCTCTCTCACATTGGCACGAATACAAGTACACTATAGCAATCAAGAGTTCACAATATTGACAAAAAAAGGAAAGGAAAAACTAAAATACAATTTAATACTATCGTAACTTAAAAGTTTTCCAGGTGTATATCTCTTCAACTTTTCATCAATCCTCGGTCAGTAAGACATGTGAAATGTTTTACAAGCCGATGAATAATAATTTAAATAATTTGTCAAATTTTGTTTTTATTGACACCACCAAGTACTGGCTGAACATTTTGGTTTCTCTTGAAAAAACCGGATTCTTGAAAAAACCGGATCTTTTGAATATACAATTATAACAAATTTTTTAGTTCTACATGGATTTTGGTTCTCAACTCATTGAAATAAAATTGATTCATGAACAAGCGAAAAACCACACATTAAAATGCCCTTATGGGAGCTGATCGTCAACGGTTATAGATAGACAAACTGGAGCGTTGAATGTTGTAATATCAGTTTCAATGACTACAAAAGTCATCGTTCAATTTTTCAAAGAGGTGAAGAGAAACTTTATGTGTAATCTAAACATAGTTGGTAGCTTTGAATTTACGATTCACGTAGAGTCCGAAAGATATAAAAAATTTAAATAGAAATTGATTTACGTAAAGAATTGATATAACTTACCTAGTTTCCATCATTAATGAATAACTATCGGTAATAACTATGTAAATACCGGATATGCCAAATTTTGACTACAGAAGCTATTTATAACAACTAAAAAAAGATTCAACTTCTCTAACTTTTTCGACCTATCAAAGAAGGTATTTAATGTGCAAGCACTCGCAAGTGAGCAATACTATCGTGAATTAGGTTATTGAATTGGGGCATTTTGGGATGATTGAAATTAGGGCATTTATGGGGTACATAATTATCACATAATTTCTGCGTTTTCAGATTTCCAATCTGGTCTAAAAAATTTCCGCTTATATGGAAATAAAAAGATGGAAAATCTGTATTTAGAGAAATGTTACTTTTCCGTAAACATTGTTAATTAGATCGTCATAAAAACTCATGAAACGCATAGAAAAAATATTTTTGAAACATTTTTCCGTTCGTGTGCAGTCGTCGTCGTCGTCGTCGTCGTCGTCGTCGTCGTCGTCATCGTCATCGTCATCGTCATCGTCGTATTAACATAATGATTCGAAAAATAGTTGTGATAATCGAATTTTGGAATTCTCAAAAATTGTCAATCGAATTTTGCATGGAGGTACCTCAGAAATGAATTTTCCAGGGTTTTCATTAAAGAATCTGCTGCTATTTTGAAATAATATGGGTTTACGATCAACCCTCACTCTCTCATGATTTTGACTAGAAATCGACTTTTCTCGATATTTTAATGTTAGTAATTATTAGAATATTAATGTCGGGAAATCTGTAAGTTCGCTCAAAAATGATATTGATTTTTTATTGACACCGCCGAAAAATTGGCTGAATATTTAGTTTTGCAGGAATGCGACTCCAAGAGTCATAAAAACCTGATCTTTTCGTGTTTAAACATACATTTGGGGTATATGAATGGGTTTAAATTTAAACTTTTTTTCGATTTTCGGCTGTATTGCGACCGTCTACATGAGAAGGGTATTAATTCTACACAACAACGATAACTAGATTTAAATTTGAATAATTCGTCAATGTGTTTAAGAACAAACACACGCTCAGCGTGTATCGTTATGAGTAAGAAGTATCGCATAGACGCTTCTCGGCTAACAGCAATCTGTGAAAGTATTGAAATGTATTCGAAGTCGCCATCTTGCCCGTTTAATGTGAAAACTTTCAATTGATTATTTTCTTTTTCTTCAATTTTGATCGCGGAGAATCATTTTTTCAAAAAAGTTTCTTCTATGAAATGTTCTACAACGTGTAACGAATAAAACGAGCTATGTTGATTTAAAATCGGTGAATTCCTAAACAGCCCAATGACCACCTCAAGATCAAAGACAAGCTCATGGACAAGCAAATCAGTGCTCAAGTGCCACAAATGTGCAAGTATTCGGACAAAGTGGCAGATCAATTCAGAAATTCAACCAGCCGTGCAAAACTGATCTCGTCAGTACGCAGCGAACAAAGCAATGAATCAAATTTAAAATATTTTCAAGTTATAATCTTATATCCCTACAAAATGTATAGGAATAATAATATTTTTCTGTGATTTTTACACAAATTTATCCTAAATTTAGCATATTATGCTATTATAAATTTTAACGCTTCAGTTAGTCTTTAATTTTTACACGTTCAAGTCTGGCTTTATTGGTCCGGTGACATGCGGCTGCCTCTATCCATTTCCATGCTTAAGTTCTGGTTATGTTTTATTTATTACATCATTCACATATCAAATTTTCAAAGTAGTCAAGAACCACTATTTCATCGAAACTATTTATGTAATACTCGAATTGCTTAAACACGAAAAGATTAGGTTTTTCATGACTCTTGGAGTCATTTTCCTGCAAAAATCAAAATCAAAATATTCAGCCAGCTTTTGGCGATGTAAATAAAATGAAATGTTTCATGAAAAGACACTCACAAGACCGTACTTTAGAGTTGTTTGATATTATTCGACTTTGCTGTTCCACAAAAAAATATTTTTTGGTGCAAGTTTGCAGTAATGTATTAAAAAACGTTTCCCTCTTGGCAACAGAAAGCAGCCTACAAAATCGACAGGAGAGCAAAAGGAAAACGATGCGCTCACGTCCAAACCGACTACGGAATCGCGCAAACCATTGTTCGAAGAGCTGCTGCAGCCAAAACCTACAGAAACAAAATCCACGGCAAATCGTGAAGAAGCTGGTCATGAACAAGAAGGAATTTGGCGATTCGATAATATCAGATGGTATATCAGCGTCGGTGTTATTCAGATTGCCGAAACAAAGCAAAACCGTTGTTGATGAAGATGAGGCCGAAACCAAACGCAAATATTTGGTAAAAGAGTTCGTGTATGCGTTGGGAATTGATCCAGGCATGCGAACCTTTATTGCGGCAGTCCGTTGCAATCTTATCACTGGCGAAGACGTAAGTGTTTACAAAATAAAAAGGGGGAAAAGTAGAAAAAAATAATTCACTTTTGTTGTATTTTATTTATACAGTGCCGTGCAAAAGTTTGAGTACGACTATAAAATCCATATT